TGCTGCGAGCAGCCTCGTGCTGCACGGCACTTTTAAACTTAGTGCACTTCATATTTGAGGCACTGGTGGCAATGGCGCTGGTGTCCCCTCCTCCCCATTTGTGAAGCGCAGAAGTTGAAAGGTGCTGCACAAGGGGCAGGCTACAGGGTGAGGCTGCATTCGACCATCTTTTCCAGGTCCGCTTACCAAAGTGGGCACCACACTGTGCTTACTGGCTGCTGAAGTGGCCGAGACGAGCAGGAGGCAGAGGTGGATCTACCGGTAGGTTGGTAGGTCAGACAGGCGGGAGGCAGGCACAGGGCAACTTAAGGCCGCAGCAATCGGATGGCAGTCAACAACACTTCCCAGCCTCTCTTCCCCAAGGGGAAAACATAGTGAGGGGAGGAAAGGCAAGTTGTTGAGCCCCGGCCCAGGGCTTGCATACCTGGGATGGGGGGATGCAGCAACAGCGAGATGGCAATGGTTGCAATGGCATCCAAGGAAGGCAATGGCAGCGATTCTGGCGGCATCAGGGCTTCCAGGACCAGCTCCCCACCCTGCCGCCCATCAGCTATTTGCGTGGGCAAGAAGGGATGGGGAGGGGCGGGCCAGCCAGTGGCGCGATTTGCCGGTTCTCCGAACTGTGCAGAATCATAACAATCGGTTCTATAGAACCAGACAGAACCGGTAGATTAAGGCGCTTTGGATTGGCAAGATTTTTCTATATTCATTGGGGGAGTTCTCTCCACCTCTGCAGGGTGCAAATTTGATTTTTTAAAAACTTTGCAATATATAAGTTTTTGAATTATACAGAAAAGGGATGCTCAGAATATAGATTTTAGAAAGTTATAATGGATTAAGGGTCTAGATTGATTTGGAATTATGCCTTTGATTTAATTAAAACAAATTTTCTCATGAGACAATGCCATTTGTTTTGGGTATTTTATGATAATGGGACCTTGAAGGCTGAAGCACTAAAGGGAGTTAGAGAATAAAGAAAAAAATAGAGCAGAATTCTATAATAGAAGCTATTGCACATTTTTTTGGCCAATCTTTGTGAAAAAATAAACAACCTTCTTCATAAAATTGGCCGAGCATGTTACAATGAAGTTGCAGATCAAGAATAAGCTGCAATGAAAAATTTTGAAATTTCTCTGAGGAGAGATTTAGTCTAAGCAATGATGCAGGTACTCCTCAACTTCCAATCACAGCTGGGAACAAAATCTTCATTGTTAAGTGAAGCAGTCATTAAATAAAATGTTCATGTGACTGTTTCGCTCAACAACTGCAATCCTGGCATTCCTGGTTCTGGTTGTTAAACAACCTCCTAGGTTTTTAGATGGAATGCCTGCCAAATGGTTTCAACTCTTTGTGGAACGAAAATCCTCCCAGCAGACAACTCTTTTGGTCTCAAACTTTTGTGCAGCCTGCCAATGGATTTCAGCTGTAGAAATGATACAGAAATCTTCACAATTTCAGCTTAGTTCCTGTAACCTGCAAAAGGTTTTCCATGCACGGAAGGGAAATCTTTCATGGTGATGCAGAAACAGAGCTGAAATCTTTAGCATTTCAGCTTTGTTCCTGCAGTTCCCTGAAGGATTACCCCTCCCTTCTATGCATGGAAGAGAATTTCTTTGTTCAGCTGCATAAATGGAGCTGAAATCTCCATTGATTGTCTGGGAAAGCTGGCAGAATACATTGAAAATTGTGATTACATTGAAAATCACAAGTTGCTTGGCAATTGGTTGCAAATGTGAGCCAGTTGCCAATCATCCAAAATGCAGTCAAATGACTAAAGAGGGGTGGCTTAGTGCTATATTTTACAATGGCCAAAAATGTTTTATGTGCTATAAAACACCTTTTCCAAGGCCATTGTAACTTTGAATGATACTTAAACAACCAGCCATAAATCTAAGACTACCTATGTAGAGAAGAATATGGGCACACAAAAAGAATTGATGGATAATTTATTTTCTGAAGGAGATGTACATCTACTGAAGCAGGAATTAGACTTGGCATTTTTTTTCATATCGGATATACAAGAGAATTTTGCAAGTGGCCATAGAGTCTGGCACAAGTGCAGTGAATCTAGGGTAGACACACAACATTCTTTGAGCCAAGGCATGAACACAGAGGGGGCAGGCAATAATTTGTGGATGAGTGAAACGTATTGCAGCAATTTGCAACCTTCACTACCAGATTCCCTTAACTTATGGGTATCTAAAACAGAATGTTGGCAAACACGATCACATGACCACTGAATGCCCAAATTGTGATCATGTGATTGTGGAAGCACTGGACTACTAACTACTACTCTCATCACCTTCACAACTTTGAACAGTAGAAACACTGAAAGTGAATGAATGAATAAATGCTCAGACTGAGTATTTAAAAAACGACCAACACAAACAATGAGCTGGGTCATATAAAGAATGAAATAGGAATGAATTGCAAAATAAATATAAGAACGAAGAGTGAATTTCTTGGAGATAGAGAAGTCTGAGAAAGTAATGCTTATGCTGAATTAATGAGGAGCTAAGTTTAAAGAATAGCATGCAAAACATGAATCAGTGTATGGATATGATAAAAGCAAAAAAGGTTTGAAAGGAAGAAAAGTACAGGAATTATGAATTGAGTTGGTGTAAATTAGCCTTAAATGTATTTCATTTTTCTTTCTTTCCTTTAATTGCCTCTTTTTCTGTGCTTCACATAACACAGCTTGCCATAAAAGAGAACAGCATCATTAGCACATATGTATGCATGCTTACAGTTCCACATGTAGTGATAAGCTCTGGTTTCTATCAGATCTGTGATAGAAACTATACTGTGAACTATACTGGTGTTTAAATGAATTTCAGTGTGACTGTTTATGATTAAATTGGACTTTGTAGTTCTTTTTGTCAAATATTACATTGTTTCCAACTTCATGTAAGCTTAATTGAGAAAAGGAATTATAAAAACCAACAAGAAATAAACATCCACTGTTTTATTCAGACATTTAGTACCAAGTGAAGGATAGACAGTTGTGTGTCTTTCAGATGCTAATTCAGAACTTACAGATTTCTATAGATAGCATAGCCAATTTTCTGTGCTCCAGGAAAAAAGTTCTGCATTTGGCATATTATGGCATTGATCTGGTTTAGTGTGTTGTTTGAACAGACTACAAACCATAGTTTATCAGTTTATTCAACTAATCTCTGAGAGTAGTTACAAAAATTAACCAATGTTGTATTTATGTCTGAACGAGACACTGAATTATATTTGCTCTATAAGGCAGATTCAAATTATTATTTATTATTTTATTTATAACATCTCTGATGGTGAGGATAAAGAGTTACTATAGTTTGTCATGCCTAATCTATGTTTTGGGGTGAGGGGACCAAAAGAAAAGCTCAAAAATGTGACATAAGATTTTGCAATAAGATGGGAGAATTGCAAACAGTCAGATAGAGACAGCTTATTTATTTGTTCAGTGTATAAGCTGTTTCAGTTATCCAACCAACTCAAGTGATACATAACACATTCTCCCTCTCTGGATTATATGTGAAGAAATTCAGATAAAAATCTAATCCATTCAACTACCATCCAATGTATATTCTAAACAGTTAGTCAACTATATACTAGGCACCTATATATATAACAAATCCAAAGATTGTGGGAGAAACTAACAGCAACCTCTATTAATTGCTGCTTGCTGTTAATTGCTGCTTGCTACTTTGGGAGAATACTTATTATAGAATAAAACAGGAGTCCCCAAACTTGGCAACTTTTAAGACTTGTGGATTTCAACTCCCATGTTATGCTGGCTGGAGAATTCTGGGAGTTGAAGTCCACAAGTCTTAAAGTTGCCAAGTTTGGAGACCTCTGGAATAAAGCATGATTTCCTCACTAACTCTATCTCCATCATAATGGATGTCAAATGGGGTCTATTTCCTTTACCCAATATCTATTTTAATTACACTGCATAGGTTTGCCAAGTAACAAGTTTCAGTCCTCAGCATTAACACAAACTCAACTCCCTCCCACTACATGTCAATGGTGTTACTATTCTTTTCATGTTTTATGCAGGTTTGCAGGGAGCTTAGCTATCCTTTGCCACCAATAAACACTTATAGTGTTTATTCAAAATGAAGGTTGTCCCACTTACAAAAAATGATGCTCTAACTGCCAATTTAAATGGCAAATTAATTAGATAAAATTGTGCAAACCAAGTGCTTTAAGGTGCTATCTTCTTCCACTTATTCTCCACATGAAATCAACAAATGAAACAATTAGGTATGCATGCTGTAAAGGTAACAATTTTGTTTCTGAAGCAGTTAAACTATTCAAGCTGGGGATTTAACTTCTGCTCTAAATTATTTCTTCTGAAGGAACTATAAAAACATCATCCTGTCAAACAGAAATCATTTCTTATCAAAGGCATTGGTTTCTACAAAATGAAATCTTAATTTGCAAAGTAACGTTAATTTTGGATTGGGGGTACGACTGCCCGTGACTTTGCTTGGATGGCAAAATCAGGGGAAAATAATCCCAGCCGGCTGTTGACCAAGACAGAATTTGGAAAGTGCTCGGAGAAGCACCTTTAAGTGACCATCAAAACGCAAAGCTAAACCTAAAACGGGCACTCTTCCAAAGTCACGTACATGTGTTTCCACCCCGAAATCCCATCCCAGGCGGTGTGCTCACGGCACAAAGATGGTTAAGTTGCAGGAACGCAGCAAGGCCCAACAAGGAACGAGGGGCCAGGCGGTGGGAGAGATAGCTCGGCCGGAGGAAGAGGAATAATACCGACGCCTATCCAGGAGAGACACCCGCCATTTAACCCACCAACCTCCCACACGATCTGAGCCCTTTGACGGCGAGCCCTCTCCCTGGTCCTCGCAAAAAAAAAAAACACACACACCCCTACCAAAGAAAGAGACTGATTACACGTCAAATCCCTTTCTCTCACTCACTCACACACAAACACACGGGAGCGCGCACCCGAGCCAAGAGTGAGTGCACATCCGCCTCTCACTCACCGATAAGGCGCAGGACCTCTTCTTGACTCATATAAACACTGAGGCCCGGTCCCGTGGCTGGAATGGGTGCCTGGAACGGGCCCTTCTGGCTTTCGGAGCTCGCGGGAGGGAGCAGCAGCAGGAGCAGCAGCAACAGCAGCGGCAACAGGCGGGAACCGAGGCGGCGGACTAGCCGCGTCTCAGCGGCAGCGTCGAAGCTTCCATCCCGCCGGCTGTCCCGCACCATCGCTTGCCCCCGGTTCCCCACAGAGCAGGGGAACCGGGTCCCGGCCCGAGGCCTCACACTCGACGACCGCTCATGCTCCGGCCACGCGCACTCGCGCCCTCCGGGCCGGGTTCATGAGCTCCCTTTCCCCGCGCGCGCTCTCGCGCTCCCTTGACCCGCCCCTCCGGTCGAGGAGCCAGCACATCCGACGAGGACAGGCAAGGCCCGGCTCTCTCCGCATGCGCATTTCTCTTTCCCGCGGCCTCTTCGCGCCTGCGCAAAAGAACCTTAACATAAATATGGAAAGTTCTCTTCGGTCGTAGCGCCTTTTCCTCTTGTCAGATTTCCAAAACACAGTAGTGTCCTTCCCAGAATCTGGCACTCCGACCTCACTTATTATCATTGGCACAATTTATTGAGCATAATAAGTTATTTTGTGGAATTAGTTTTGCTGTAGGGGACTGTCCTTTGACCACAGTGGCTGGAAAATTGATACCTGAATTAAATTACCACTTTCTGAATTCTAAAATTATTTCAAAGATGTGTGAATCCAGTCATTGCATGACCTATCCATTTACTCCAGCCTATACCTAAGCAGAACCATTAATAGAAGCTTTATTTGAAGAAAAGAGCCTTTGATGCCTGCTGAAAGTAAAAAAAAGAATGTAACAGTTCATATTGTTACATATGTATGTTTTTTATTCAAGAGCATGGTTGGAGAATTCTGAGAATTGAAACAGCATACATCTTAAAACTGCCAAGGTTGAGAAATACTGCTTTATAATGGTGGCATTGCATACTTAATTCTGGAGCACATAACAGCAGACATGTCACTAGAAGGTAAAATTATGAAACTGCCTCACTTTGACCATGGTCTGTGATGGAATTCACTGGAAAACGTAATTACATTTGGAAGAGTTAGCAGTAAAAAGGAAAACAGGCTGTCAAATAACACGGTGGCTGCACACTATCAAAGCTGACATTAGCCAGAGGGTAGAAAAGCCAAAGAAATAGCGCAAAATCGGAAGATATGGAGAGACCTGACCCGCAGAATTGCCAAGAGTTGGACATGACTTGAAAGGATAACATCCAACATCTATATGTACCACACCTGGCACCTTTAGTGGTGTGTCACTCTGAAGCATTTTGCACCCATCAGATTCTCAGGCTGCTTGCTGTTTTGTTATTCTTTTACACTGTTCATTTAAAAAAAATGTAAATGAGCTAATATACATGAAAAGAAAGTGCCAATCTCCACAATCTTTTTTATTTCCAAGAATGCTTCTGGGTCAATTGGAAGATCCCAAGATGTCATTGACTAAATTTGTCATTTGATTAAAGAAACTTTGGCTTGGAGTAGACCTGCTTAACTTTTTTTCTGGCTGGTTGATTGTCACACTAAATAACGGGAGACCAAGATAAAAATTAAACTGGGTTTTATTCTGCCATGAAGATTAAATTACTGAAAAAATGCTTATTTGCAGGCATTTAATAACTTTTCTATTACTTTGTTATAGTTCAGGACTAACCTTTGGAATATGTATGATCTTAGATCCTCAGTTTGTGGACTTCTGACTTAGAATGATGTGTAAACGTATTCAACAATAGAAAACCAATAACAGTGATCAATAGTGAAGTACCCAGTCCCAGAATTATGATAGACTGCAGGTTTAAAGCCCATCATGGGCCACAGCTATATTCAATAAGAGCAGACTGCAAACTAACATATATTTTCCTCCATTTCCTACAATTCCCTACCATTTGCTGTGGTGAAATTGGCAGAATTATTCATGTGATGGCTTTCTTATTTTCTTCCTATTGAAGTCCCTGGCAGGAAAATTCTTTACCTCCAATAGAAATTGCATATAGTTTTAATTCTAGACCTAATTCCCACAATCTTCCATCTAAAATATGGGATATTGGGTTATGGCTATTTAACAATACTTCTAATAACATAAAAAACCAACATCTGCCTACCCCACATTCTAAAGGGCTCAATAGGTGGATAAAAATGCCAATGCCGTCTAGATATCTGGCTGACTGTGCAACAAACAAGGAATTATTATTATTTAAAAAACAACAAAAGTAAGGATGTTGGAGAAGAGTTCTAATACTACAAAGTACATGAGATTGAGTAAATATTGCAGGTGCAAAGGTCTGGGTTACCTTTCAGTCAAAACTTTGTAAAAGTTTCCTTTGTCAGTAATAATGGGTTCCAAAGGTTTCCTGTGGCCTCTTATGCATCTTCTATTGTTATTTTACAAATGTTTTCTTTTATAATTCTTCTAATTTAGAAAGATTCTCAGGTTTCATTCTATCAACTGTAGGTTGGTGATTCACCATACAATTTTTCAATAATATTTAAGGTTGAGAACTGTGAAGATTGTACAAAGCCTTTCTTTCTTTTTGACAGATATTTTACAGTTTATTTGGAGATGAGCTTAATTATCCTGCTAAAATACCCATTTTTTTCCAGTTTAAGTTGCTTCACTGACTATGCAAGATTAGCTTCTAGGGTATGTTAATACTGTACTTAATTGAATCCATCTTTCACTTGTATAATAATACTGTACTTCCTGTGCCACAGGCTGCCATATCTTCCTAAAGCATAAAAGAGGTGCCTACTTGCACCTCGACCACTTAATGGATAGCAAAGTGTTCATTTTTTCAAATGTTTCAACATTTTCCCTCTAAATTGTTGTGTATTGTTGTGGCTGAACATTTCAGTTTAGATTTATCTATCCCAAGCACTTTGTTGCAAAATTTTCAAGCTTATCAAGGTTTTATTTGCATACTTTAGATAATGACTTTCATATGACTTGCAGAAAAAGTGTCTTTTAGACAATTCTCTCATGCAGCTCACTGTTCTATCAGCTATACTTTATTGTGGACATTTACTTCAGTGTCAGCTAATACATTTTCAGTGAACTGTAGATTTTGTTTGCAGATCAGGCCATTTTAGGCAGTTCTAAAAGATATTTCCCTAAAATAAGAAACAACTTGCATCCTACAATGATATCTGTCAGTATCAAACTTCACATCTACCTATCCCAGGTCCTTGGGAAAGGCTTGATAGGTGGACAAAAATGTCAAATGCAGTTTGAACAACTGGCAATGTTGTTTAACATTGAGTGTGCATGAACCCAAATTTAACAGAGCTGAGATATATGTAACACAATGTTATGCACACAAATTGACACATATTGATTGTTCACACAACATCCTGATCCAGGGTCGAATTGAAGTGCCAGGTGTTTAGGATCTTTCTAAATGCTAGCAGATCCCTCTGACTTTGGTAGAGGTGTTGCTCTTTCAGAATGCAGGTGCACCACAGAGTAGGCATACTTCCTGTTATTTGAAAAAATTCTGCTTGTAATATACAGTTTAGTTTGCACCCTACACAATCCCAGTTAATCCCTACAGCCAAATTAAAGCAAGCATGTAATGTACACAGTTCAGTTGTAAAAATATAGCTTCATGTTTTTTTTATTAAGCATCAACAATCCACTCAACGTAATTACCTGGTAAAAGATAAAAAGGCAGGCAAAGGCAAGAGAAACAAGAGCAATATGCAAGACTATCCATCTGTCTGAAACAGAACTTTTCAGGGACACTAGAAATACAATAGTGTGGATCATTAGCAAGGACAATACTTAAATGAGTAGCTTTGATCATTCCAATTGGAATTCATTTTTTCTCTACAGAGCAGCAGTTGAATAGAGATCCATGCAGAACTGTGGAGAATCCTTCCATTTTTTGCATCAGTAAAGCTACAATTTGGTAGATGGGGACGATGTGCTCAATAGATAGCATAAAAATGGGCCTAATGTTTAAGCTGCTATAGAAATGATTCATATCTCAATGCTCATAGCCATGGAGATTTCTTCAATCTCTTTTATGGGGGAAACTGCCTTTCAGAAGCTGGGCAGCTAGTACAGTTTTATAAGAGAATGCACAGTGGTTTAGGACATGCCTCTTTCCTTTCTATGGTCAAGCATTTAGGAAATTTAGCAATGAACATATGGGCATTTTTGGAAAACACAGCCTTCAATGTTTGGGAAATTTGGGAGAAACACAGCCTTAAAACATTAATAAGTGAATTGTTTCTACAATTACATGAAATAAGCACACACATGTGGATTGAAGCTACAAAAAAAAGTAGAGCATCTGCACATTATTATACTCTGTGGTTAGGAGCTTATGTACCATTCCTTCGTTTGCTTATAAGACTGAAGGGGCTGAGTGATGTGTGGACTTAGCATGAAAGTGCCTCCCCCCACACCATTCTATATTTAGGCCACTGCTTCTATTTCTATTTCTGTGTGAATTCTGGCCAGACTTCAGTGTAATCTGAATATTTATCATACATTTCTGAAAGTGTCATGGTGATCAGATGCCAATGATTGTTCAAGCTGCAAGAACATATGACTTTCCAGTCATATATGATTCTGTTTTCTATTGAGCAGATTAGAGCGTAATGTGGCAGAGAAAATGAGGGTATTCCCCTTTTCTTTTTCTTTTGTAAAAGATAAGCTTAAAATCGATCAATCTGCTGTTTACTTTTCAATCTCTGAAATGCTAAAAATATCTCTAAATATATTCTATTTCTTTTCCTTATATCATTATTGTATAAAGATTATCTTTTATAGATTATTTTTTTCAACTCATATGGTCCCCAATTTCACATGTTAGAACCTATACATTTGATTTATTTATTTATTTCTCTCAATTTCTATTTCTTTCTTTCTTTTCTCTCTTTCTCCTTCTCTTCCATCCTTTATTTCTTCCCTCCCTATTTATCAACAGGATAAAATAATGAAAAAATAGTAAATAAAACAATGATTCAAACTCTGTTTAGACATCAAAATCCCTCTTGTTTAGTTTCACTTGATTGAAATTATCACATGGGAAAAATGTGATAGTATTTTTTCTTTTTTCCTTGAAAGAAGCTCATGTCTAAATCTAGGCATTTCTTGGCAAAATGTCATGGCCAAATAAGCATACTTATAATTCCAGATAACTTGCCTGAAGCAATTCAGCACATATTTAATGCATTCATAAGAGTTGCCTTCCTAGCTATATTCATCATGGGAAGACTGCAATACGTTATTCAATATAATCTACTTTTTATTGGTATAAAATAAATCACACTTCTTTATATCTCCCTTGAAAATCAAAAGGTA